CCGGGTTGGCTCCGGTGGACAGAGCGTCAGCCTGCGGACTGAGGGGTCCCAGGTTCGGGTTCCGGTCAAGGGCATGTACCTTGGTTGGGGGCACACCAGCGGGGGTGTGTGCAGGAGGCAGCTGATCGATGTTTCTCTCTCATCGATGTTTCTGACTATCTCTCTCCCTTCCTCTCTGTAAAAAATCAATAAAATATATACATTAAGAAAAAAAAAGAAGTTTGCAGAAGTGTTTCTATGAGCAGGACTTCATTTGATCTTTGATCTGAGGGAGGCAGGGGGGTAAGGAAAGAGAGGGTGAGGGGAGGCCAAGGAACATGACCGAGGTCACAGGACGAGTAAGGAAAGAATCGGGACTTGAACCTCTTTGGTGAAGTCCACCCTCTGCTCCTGACTCCAGCTGCGGGCACAGAGGGTCAAGTACCTCTGTGGTGCCCACCGGCCACACACTGGGGGGTGGGGGGAGGCCCAGCTGGAGGCTTACTGCGCTGCAGAGTGCTCCCCTATACACCTCACGTGCATGGCGCTCAGCTGGCTGTGGTGGGGGCAGGTCATACCCCGTCATCATGGACTTTAGGTTCCAGCAGGTGATGAGACACAGACTCAGACCGTTCTCTCAAGCAGACTGAGGACAGTGTCAAGGGAGAGAGGTTCAGAAGTTCAGATGAAGGAGAAGTTGTGGCATGTGAACTGGGGCCCAGAGGAAGAGCTGGCCCTTGGTAAAGGCGTGGGAGCAGGAGAAGGTGGGCATTGTGGGAAGAGCCCGTAGTCAGTGTGTTTTCCACCTCCCACATCTCTTTTTAAAAAAACTTTTAAAATTGATTTTCAAAGAGGAAGGAAAAGATAGAAAGATCATTGATGAGAGAGAATCATTGGTCAGCTGCCTCCTGCACGCCCCCTACTGGGGATCGAACCCACAACCCATGCATGTGCTCTTAACCTGGGACCCTTCAGTTGGCAGGCTGACACTCTACCCATTGAGCCAAACCGGCTAGGGCCCCACATCTAGTCTTTCACCACTTCCTCTCTGTCCCATAGCCAATCCCGTCTAACTTCCTCTATCCCTGGCATCGCCCTCACCTAAGCTGCCAACATCTCTGGCCTGGATGATGGCAATATCTCTTCTCCCACCCTCCTTCCCTCCCTTCCTCTAAAAAAAAAAAAAAAATCAATGGAGAGAATATCCTCAGGTGAGGATTAACAAAAACAAAAATAACCCTAGCTGGTTTGGCTCAGTGGATAGAGCGTCAGCCTGAGGACTGAAGGGTTCCGGGTTCGATTCCGGTCAAGGGCACATGCCCGGGTTGCAGGCTCGGTCCCCAGTAGGGGGCATGCAGGAGGCAGCCGATCAACGATTCTCTCTCATCATTGATGTTTCTCTCTCTCTCTTCCTCTCTGAAATCAATAAAAGTATATTAAAGTAAAAGCAGATAGGGGTAGGCATAAAGGGAAGGGGACAGAGATCTAAATCCTATCGCCGGTCTCAATATCTAACCAAGTAGGGGAGCAAGTTGTTCAATGTGAGAACCGGGAACTAGGAAGAGTGGAGAAGGATAAATATTTCCAGCCCTGCAGAGGGAAAATGGAGAGAAAGCCTGGTTGGCGCAGGAGAGACGTGATGAGCAGGGGTTGGGCTGGAAGGAACCCCCTGGACCTGTTGCCCTGCTTGATACTGCTGTGGCGGCAGAGCTGTCCCACAAGGCTAGCAAACCCGTCCGGAGTGCGAGTACAGAAGGGCAGGTGGTAACCCTGACCCAGGACCCGGCTTTGCCGCAGGCCCAGCGCGTAGTGTTAAAATGAGGAGGTTCTGTTGGGGTAGGAAAGCAAGGCCGGGAAGAGCATCTGGGACAGAAGATGGGATCAAAAGCCTTGAGGGGACAGGGCAACAGAGGAGGGCAGGAAAGGAGGCTGGTGGTGGGAAGGAGGCTGGGGTTTAGTTTAACTTTGGGGGGAGGGGCAGGCTGGAGAATAACCAAGTCCGCACTGGACATGGCCCTGGCGGGGCTGAAGCCCCATAGAAGAGGCAGCGTCAGAGTTGAGGTCAGGAGAGCCAAGTGGTTGACAGGCTCCGAGGAGGACAGGAGGGTGGGGGAAGGGAGGCCCAAGCCAGGGGCCACCCTCGGTGCAAACGGGGCGGGGGGGTGAGAGAGGGGGGAGGATGTGGCTCAGGCAGAGGCCAGTCCTGATGCAAGAGTGGGAAGAAGCATCGCAGGGGCCCTGGGCTGAGGGAGGGCCCGGCTCCCCTGGATTGGAGCACGCGGGTTTGAGAGCATGAGCTGCTGTGGCTGGAAAGCAGAGGTGAAAGAGGCAGGGATGAGGGGAGCTTTCTCTCCACCCCAGGGAGCTTTTAAATACTCCCCCCCCCCCACTCCCCACCCCCGCCCCCCACCCAGCCGGGATTTAGTTGATCTGAGGTCGGCCTAGATATGGGTGATTTTCAACTTCTGACAGTTTCAGACTTAAATAAAGCTGATTCTGAGGCAAAGAATACCCCTAACTCTTCAGAGTCCTCAAGGGTTAACATTCTAATTGTTCCTTGTCACTATCCATCTCTACACACACACTCTGCAAAGCATTTACTTCTCAGTGGACAGGGATGTCTTGGGGTTCCCTGGGTCACACGTCTAGGCTTTCAGGATCAGGAGGCGCTGCTTAAGCAGAGGAACCCCGAGTGAAACGGCGTAAACGGGCAAGGAGGTGAAGGCAGGACGGTGATGGAAGTGAAGGTGGGACGCCCACCGGCTCAGGGCCTGTGCGACAAGGAGGGACTGGCTGCCGGGGCAGCCTCCAGCGCCCTCCCGTGGGAAAACCAGGCGTCTGAACCTGGGCCCCATCTTACCCGCCATTGCTGTCACTGCCCACCCGCGTCTGGCACTGTTTGAATGAATAAAATGCTTACTCTTGGCACAAGCCATTCAGTGCCAGCTTGGCCGGGAGTTCCCAGCAGGCTCTGGAGCCTGGTTGGTTAGGTGGTGAGATGGGCTGACAGCTCTCAAAGGGGCAAGTCTGTTGTGGGCAGGTGAGGAGGAAGGGGCGTTTGGGGAAGGCCGGGGGAGGGGCAGTGAATCGATTCTACCCCCAGTGAGAACCAGGAGCGGTGGCCGCCGTCCCCTCCCATGATGCCCATTTGTCTTCCCTCCTGAAGGCAGTGTGGTAGCAGGACAGGTGGAGAGGGTCTGGGGGAGGCAGGGCAGATACCTTTTCCAGAACCTCCCCTGGGTACAGGGGGAAGGGGTCCTGGGCCAGCCGGATCTCCAGGTCCGCGTGGCGGAGCCGTACTTGCCCCGTGACATCGAGCAGCACCGAGCCCTGGGCATCCCGGGACACCGGGTTGGCCACTGTGCAGTAGTGGCGTGGGGGGACGGTCACCATGCACAGGGGGGCAAACAGGACCCTGTTGGAAGGGAGAAGTGGTGTGAGGACCCAGGAGACCTCCACTCCCAAAGGAGGTGGAGAAGGAGAGAGAAAGCTCCCTGTGACCCCTGTGAGGGCCAGTCCTCAGAAGAGACGGGTGATCACGCCAGCTAGACTCACAGACCCGCCCCAGCCCAGGTTCCCCACAGCCCAGCCCTGACACCAACCTCTCATTGTCCTGCCGGATGTAAGTCTTTGGCCCAACCTCCACACGGGACACATTGCTGTTCTGGTCCAGCACATGGATGTAGTGGTAAGGGGGGATGCGGATGATGGACTCTTCAGTTGCCATGGTTACGCCCGTGCCTGGGGCAGCATATAGAGTGACAGGTGGGTGGGGGGAAGATACAGGATGAAGACAGGGGGCCTAGGAGGAGGCAGGCCTGAGCCTGAAGACTGGCTGGAAATGGGGAAGGACCTTCCTCCTCCAGCTCAGACTATTCTACCCTTCCCTGTGCCCATGTCCAACTCTTCCTTGTTCTTCCCACCCTGGCAGCACAGCTCACCCAGATTTCACCCCTGCCAAGAACTGCCCAACAGTTACCCACAGACGCCCAGGGCTCTGGACTGATCCTTCCCCTCCTTCCCATCTGCTTTACGGCCTGAGCTGCCTGCACTTTCCCCATCTCAGCCCCCACGGTGGAGGAGCTGGGAGTGCAGGGCAGTCTCTGGGGGGCTGTGGCTTCCCCAGCACGGTGGGGGTGGGGATCGGTGGCTCCTTCAAGGGCCGGCAGCCTTTATTTCAGGGGATCCTGAGGACCCCAGCAGTATTCAACTGACAGCCCGTAGCCCAGGAATATTTGCATAATCTTTGCTCCTCCAGCCCCACCTGTGCTTGAAGCAGTCCTCAGATCCTGATACTCCTGTAGAATCAGCTGGGTCAGGAGCACACAAATTATTCCAGTTCTTTCCTCCCCTTTCTCTCTGGTCTGTTGCCACCCGCAACTCCCTGAATCCTGGGCGGCTCCGCCCAGTGATTGGCCCTTTCAGGAAGTCACACCTCCTACCTGAACCCTCTCACTGCCTCCAGCACGCCTTGGACTTTGGACAACATGTACCTTTGGGTCACACAAAGGAAACCAAGTTTACTAAACAACTCAAAGCCTTGTCTCCTGAGACTTTGGTCAGACATTTTAAAAGCCACCTGCTCCACCGTTCATCCAGCTCCCAAGCTGAGCGAGAAATAGGAAGCAAGGAGGGAGAGTGGGCACAGGAATAAGAGGCAGGAGCCACCACCCTGTAGAGTCAAGGCGAGGGGACCCAAGAGTTTTACTTGACCTATATAATCTGTAAAATGTCAATTTTGGGGTTTAGAAATTGAGAGTTCTCACAAACCCCCAATTCCTGCTTTTCTTGAAGAGCTAGGAGATACGTTCCCGCAGACAGAACTGGTTAGAGCCAAGGAGCAGCTGTGCCTTTAGGTGGGACACAGGTTTTCCTGCTTACCACAGGCCCCGCCACTCCCGGACCCTCACGCCACCTGCCTGGCTCCTGTTCAAAATACTTAACTCAGCAGCATCCAATAGGACTTCCTACAATGATGGAGATATTCTACATCTGTGCTGTCTTTGGGCCGACCACATTTGAAATATGGCTAGTGTAACTGAGGAAGTTTTTACATATATATCTTGCTTTCAGAGAGGAAGGGAGAGGGAGAGAGAGATAGAAACATCAATGATGAGAGAATCATTGATTGGCTGCCTCCTGCACACCCCACACTGGGGATTGAGCCCACAACCCGGGCATGTGCCCTGGCCAGGAATGGAACCGTGACCTCCTGGTTAATAGGTCAATGCTCAACTACTGAGCCACACGAGTCGGGCTGTAAGTTTTAGACTTTAATTAACATACCCAAGTGAGAAGGTATCAAATACGATGCAAAATATTGTGGGCTGGGTTGTTTTTTTCGGGGGGTGGGGTGGGGTTAGCCAAGTACATACATCTGAAACTAATACTAAATAATATTGAACATAACCTGTAATGGAAAAAACAATAGCCAAGTGTGGCTGGCTGATCCCATATTAGAGAGTGTAGCTCTAGGTAGCCGAGTCCCAGATAGGAACGAGTCCTCCGAGCCACACAGCACGTTAGTGGTGCTTTTGCGACGAGAATCTCGAAGGAGTGGCTCCCTTACAGTGCGGTGTGGTTAACGCTGCAGACTCAGACAGACTGCCTGGGCTTCCTGACAATCCCGATCTGCTGCCTGCATGCCTTGTATTGTTTCCTAACACCTTACTTCGTTTTTAAAGGGGTTACAGTTTTGATCTGTTTTCCTGGCACACTTTTCACATCAGAAGGGTGTTATTCTACTCATTCTTTTATCTTGCAACTTTGTATGGGATTTGACCTTGATACTTTTCTGTCGCTCCTTTTTATATGAATTCCCCTTAACCTGTAGGAGTGGCTTTCCTAAAGCCAGAGCTCCCTCTTCTGTTGATGTCGGGTAGTGTTTGAAAATACTAGGGCTGGCGTTCTGTTTGGGGGTTCTGTTCCCCTCCTCACTCTTTCCATTCTATTGCCCCATCCTGCTCGGCTGTGCTCCAGTCCCTGAAATTGCTCCCTGACATGGGGCTTCACACGTGCCCCGGGGGCTGGAACTGCCTGGATCTTCGTCCTCCCCTTTACTGGATCAGTGATCTGGGACAAGTCCCCTGCCTTCCCTATTCCTGTTCCCTGGCCAATAAAGTGGGAATGGATAGGGCATTTACCCAGCTAGGAGGGCTGAGTTCATCATAAAGCACTTGGAACAGAGCCTGGCCCTTCAGAAGCACCGTGTCTATGAGGCAGGGACTGGCCTGAGGCCCCTTTCCTATGCGTTAGAGCATGTGACCGAACACCAGACACTCACCATCTCACCTGGCCCCTGGACCTCAACCCTCCCGTTTCTGGTCAGGAATGTGGCGGGTCTGTGTCATGCCTGCTGTGGGGCCAGAACTGCAAAGAAAGAGGCGTCTGGCGGCCCAGTGAGGCCTTTTCTAGCTGCTCCTGTGCTGGGCTCTCTGCAGGCGGCAGCCTGGCCGGGAAGGCAGATGGGGGAGAGGAAGAGCTAGGGCTGCAGGCGGAGGTGTGGACAGGCTGCACGAGGCCCCGCAGGGAAGATTTGAACTCTAGGTTATGCAAGGCTGGGAAGCAGGCTCTGGAAATAGTCTCCAACGGCTCGTTGTTGATGATCCCAATCCCCACCCGCTATGGCTGAGGCCTCTCCACCATCTGTCACCCCAGCTGGGCGCAGTCAGTGGGGCTGAGAGCCTGGCCCGGCTCAGTGACTCAGCTGAGAGTCATCCTTCCAACTGATCAAACTGGGCTCCTGCCTTGTTCTGAAGCCAAGCCCTGGCCAACTACCCCCGTTTCAGTCCCAGGACTTTTCTTAACCTCCCTGCCAAGTTCACCCAGAACAGGCTTTGCCTTTCCCTTGCCATCCACAGGAGTGAGCCTCAATAGAGGGCCTCTCAGGGGATCGGGGCAACCGTTCGACTCAGGCAGGATGTTTGTGACAAGTTTCAGATTTAGACTTTGTGGTTTACCAGATGACATGTACAGCCAGAGCATTTTACTCCCAGTAGATCAGGGCCCTCAAAAGACAATGGGTCGGTTGGTGTGGCTCAGTTGAGCATTGACCTATGAACCAAGTCATGGTTCGGTTCCCAGTCAGGGCCCAGGTTGTGGGTTCAATCCCCAGTGTGGGGTGTGCAGGAGGCAGCTGATCAATGATTCTCTCTCATCATTGATGTTTCTCTCTCTCTCCATCTCCCCTCCTCTCTGAAATATATATATATGACAATGGCTAGTCTGTTGACCTCTGAAAGGCCCTGCCCTGACTTTGGTTTGGCCCCAACTCCCCAAATCCATCCAGACCTCCCTTTAGTGCCTGCTTCTGAGATCTGCCCTCGTCTGCTCTCTGGGCACATGTCCGGGTTTGCCTGATCACATGTCCCCACGTGTCATGAGGCTCCTGTAAGAACCAGTCAGTTTTCATCCAAAGTCTCAGAGACCAGCAGCTCCCGCTGCACCACACCCTCCCCCCCTCACACAGAGGCCGGGGGAACGGGTGGATGAGCAGAGACAACACAGCCTGTGGGAGGAGGAGCTGGGTTCATCCTCTAGTTAAGAGACAGCTTTCACCTGTGTCTCCGCTGAAAGGTAAACTTATGCTACAGCAAAATGTAATCATGAGCGAGGAGTCCCTACGTATCAGATCCTCAGGGTCAACTGTGAGTGGCTGACAGTGAATCTTAAACAACAGATGCCCAAGTTACCAGCCACGCTGGTGGGCAGTGAGCAGCAGCAGCCTCACCTGGAAGCTTCAAATGCAGAATCTTGGGCCCCACCCAAGAGCTGCTGAATTAGTTGGTACCTTAACCCCAATGATTTGGGCTCACATTAAAGTATGAGCAGAACAAAGATGAGCAGATTACAGACTGCTGCTCAGGGCAGGGGAGTTCATTTATTCTCCCCCAGCCCCCTCACCCCTAGGCCAAGTAGCCCCTAGCCAACACAAGCCCCCCAATCCTAAGTCCTGGGCTCTTGGTCCAGCAGGCCTGCAGTTGGAGGTGAGGCAGTGATTCAGCCTCGCCACCATCACCTCTATCAAGCTTAGAAAATTGCACGTGAAGTGCAGCCCAAACAGGCGCTCAACTTCCCAGTTTCCTTCACCAATTTTCAACGTTCTAGTCTTTGTTGGAGAATCAGTCACACTCAGGCACCTCTCTCCCAGACCGCTTCCTGGCTTAGGGGATTACTTCCCGCTCTAGGGGACTACAGCGGAAATTCTGGGGGATTTGTCTCACGTAAACCATTTAAACCATTTAGCAGCAGAACTTTAGGGACTTTTCTTTCTGAGCTCCAGCCCAGCTAGGCCACTTTGTGGGAGGAGGAGCAGCTCAGGTGCCTCTTGTCCTACCTCCATCGCCCTCCCGCATGCTGCCAGTGAATGCCAATCATTGAAGGTAAGGGTCGCCTAGATTAGGAGTGACCCAGGAACCGGCTTCAGAACCCCTGGTCCAGGTCAATGTTTTCTAAACTTGTCGTCGGAGGACTCAGCTGCTAGTGCTCCCAGGTCTCACCCCAGACCCAATGGGCAGAGGTTTCCGGGAGACTCTGGAACTTGTACCATCGGCAAGTTCCCCTGAATAACAGCTCCCATCATTCATTATTAAGAACTTAATCTGTGTCAGGCATGGCGTTAAGTACCTTTAATTAACTCCTTTACTCCTCACAAGAACCTGGAAGCTAAGGAACTTGCTGAGGATCACAGAATGATCAAAGGCCGAAGCCAGAGTTCCACCCCAGGTGCCTGGACTGCAGAGCCCCCAACCAGGAGGCAGCTTGGCTTCTCAGGCACAAATGTCAATAAGACCTAGAACAAGGACTTGGGTGGGGCTGGGTGCTCCCAGGGAACAGTGCCAATGGCAGTTCAAAGGTGAGCATTCTCTGCCACCTGAGAGGGCAGCACCCAGCAAGGAGGCCCAAGGTATTCCAGGTGGCTGCCTGCCTGCTCATGGCTTTGGAGTGCCCTGCCCAGGAAGCACCACTCCAGGGCAGGCTGGGTGCCGTGTGCCAAGGGGAGAAACAGGCAGGCGTTCCCAGGGAGTCAGTTGGCACCCCTCTCGACAGCCAACCTTTCCTCCATAAGCCTGGGGTCCACCTAGGCAGGCAGCAAAACACAGGACATCTGTCTCAACCCCCATTCCCCGCCCCTCCATGCTTCACTCCTGAGATCTACGGTCCCAGAGCTTCCCGTTTTCCACTTCCCCTCACACAGGGAGAGCAAGCCTTGCTCATCCAACTCCACTCCTTCTGGGATGAAGCCTCGAGATTGCTCTGCTAATGGCGTCTCAAGTGATCTGCAAAGCCCACAGTTGGCATAGCCCTGAGCGGGACGGTATGAAAACCTCAATATTAGGCAAAGTTGAGGGATCTCAATGGGGACAAATCACATTCCAAGGACTCTAGGGACAGAGCCCAGGCCCCAGGGGGGGAGGCCCATGAATACAGCAGGGCCCAATCTAATCCTAGGAGGGTGTGAATGGACCCCTTAAGCTTCCTCTGGCCTTACTGCTGATGTGGGAGCTTGAAGTGAGGGAGGCCCGAGATTTTGGAGGTGAGGGGTGTTGGCAAGGTGACAAATTGATCTATTTTTACTTCAAAAGACAGAAAAAAACTCCAACAAGGAAAGCAAAATCTCTAAAGGCCAAGCCTCCACCCACCTTCTCCCGACTCTGCTTCAGAGGGTCTTACCTGCCCCAACAGAAGGCACTAAAAGGCAGGACAGGCTGGAAAGAGCCCCGAGGGACACAAGGCCCTACACTGGCTGGGGTGCTGGGGCCAGTACTCAGTACTCACATCCAGAAGTGTGGCTGACTGCAATGACTCCTCAGACTGGGGAAAGCAGGAACCCAGCCCCAGGGATCACTTCCCGGTAGCTCAGCGCAGGGCAGGGCAGGCTCAGGGAGGGGCTTAGGCATTTAAAGGGCCCTTGCAGCTGCTGCTCCTTTTCTCCTCTGGGCGGCAGCTGCAGGCACTGCAGCTCACCAGCTGGCCTCACTGGAAAGCGACTGGGAAAGGTCAGAGGACTGAGACAGGTGTGGACGAGTTCACCGCTAACTTCCCAACCTGGGTGAAGACAATGATGCCTTCCCAACTGTTAGGCTCCAGCTGCAGCCCCTCTTCTAAGAGGATGACTTTGTATTTTTTATTTTAGATTCAGAAATTTCAGGCCAGGTCTCCAAACAGATTCAATAGAAAACATAAACACACACATGCCCCCTCACTGGCAGGGTGCTGTGTCGGGGCTTTGGAGTTTCCCTCCTCTCTCCACGTTTCCCAGCATCCAGGGTTAGGGAAGGCAGGCCAAGGCCCCAGCAGGCACACACGCTGCAGCCTAAGGCAGCACAGTCAGTATTTCCGCTGCCGGGGGAAGAGACTACTCCCTGAGGACCGCAGTGGGGGGCTGGTGGGGCTGGGGTCCCCTGAGTCCAGGCTGAACAGGTCCCTGCCAGTACGAAGGATCTGCTCCTCCAGCTTCTTGTGTCGCTTCATGTCTGAGAGGACTTTGTCCAGGCGGGCTTCCCGTTTCTGGCTCCGGGCTGAGCTTCCTGGAGAAGGGAAGGTGAGACACGTGGAGGGGGTGAGGCCATGCGCTTGGGGAATCACCAGGGAAGACCCCCTCGGGCAGTGGAGAGCAGTGCAAAGGCCCCAGGGTAGAAACAGGGAGGTCTGTCCAGAGAGTGTAGAGAGCTGGGGAGACATGAAAGATGAGGCCAAAGAAATGAGGTGGAGGCCATGATAAGGGGTTTGGATCTTATTTTAAATGGAAATGCCTTTGGAAGCCTTGGTGGGGGTTGGATACTCTCTCAACACGCTCTCCCCTCTCTCCCCAGCAATGGAAACCTTTGGAGGATTTTAGACAGAGAAGTGACATGATTTATGTTCTAAGAGGATCATTCTAGTCACTGAGATTGGAGGCAGAGATCAGTAAGGTGCTATTGCAACTCAGACGAGATGGTGGCTGGGATGAGCGGATGGTGTTGAAAGTTGCAGATGAACTTGGAAATGTGGAGGCAGAGCTACTGAACTTGCTGCTGCTGGCTTGAATGTTGGAATAAGAGAAAGAGAAATCAGGAATGGCTCTACAGGTAAATTCTAGGAAGGCATAAGGGTGAAAACTGGGTCAGGTTAGGAGACATACACAGGGGTATACGGGTGTGAACCTAGATAATAATGAATGACCAGGAAGACCTGGACTTCTGGGGAGATGGAGAGAAAGGAAATGGGAGCCATGATAGAGTTACCTGTGGAATTCTCTTAAAGGAATACAGTGGGCCTTGACTTACGAGTGTCCCGACTAACGAGTTTTTTGAGATACCAGGTGTCTCTCCACCGATTTTTTGCTAACGAGCTCCTTAACGAGCTCGGTCTCCGAACGAATTAAACTCGTAAGTCAAGGCCTCACTGTATAGGGTTATGGGTTTAAGCCAGTGGTTCTCAATCTTGGCTGCACATTAGAATCACCTGGGAATCACTTTGTTATGGGGTGGGGCCACAACATTAGTAACAAAGAAACAGAATTTCCAGAGGATGAGGCCCAGAAATCAGGATTTTAAAAAGATTCCCAGGTGATTCTAATGTGCAGCCAAGGTTGAGAACCACTGGTTTAAGCTGAAAGGATGGCGCCCCTGTGTGAACGCGCTCCCCTGCAGCAGCAAGCTGTAGAACAACCAAGGCACCAGACAACGGCCCCTTGGAGAGTCACTTTCTGGGTAAGCGGGAGCAGAAGCCCTTCACTTCCCCCCACCCCCGCTCCCTCCTGTCAGTCAGTACCTGGAGTGCGTCTCCGGTCAATCAGGGAGTCCTTTGGTGTCATCGGCTCATCATCGAAGTCAAATTCTGTGGGCATGTGCGGCCTGGGACAGGTGGGCAAGGAGTGAAGGGTGAGGGTGGTGCTCCGCCCGGCCTGCCAGCTTTCTCTCTTGCTCTCTTCCCTCCCTCCGTTTTGCCTGCTCCTGAGTCCCACCTCCCCCCGCTATTCCCTCCTGGTCCTCACTTTTCCTCTTTCTCCTCTTGGGCCTCGGGCTCCTCGTCGGATCTCTCCTCTTCACTCTGAGCCTCGGGAGTGGGCGGCCGGCGGGGCAGGATCTCCGCCTGCAGCTCCAGGGTGCCTTGGGCGGCCAGGAGTTCATAGAGCCGCTGGATTTCGGAGGGGGGCGGCCTCCAGGACTGCCCATCGGCGGGCAGCTCCACCTCCTCATCGCTGCAGGGCACGCACCAGTCCTCGGAGTCGGCCTGGGCACGCTCCTCCCCCTCGGCGCCGGGGGCTTCTCCCGGCACCTCCTCGACCCCAGACCCCTCGCGCTCGGCCTCCTCCCGGCCTCCTTCCCCCTCTTCCTCGGCTCTACCGGCCGCAGCCGAAGGGCCTGCGGTGTCTCCCACGGCCAGAGCCTGGAGGCCGGAGGTCACCTCCCCTTCTTCGGACAGAGGCGCCGCCGTGGTGGCCACAATGTCTCCATGGCCCCGGACCAGGGACATAAGCCACTAAGGAAGGGACCCTGGGATGACAGGGAAGGCGGGAGTCCTCCGCTGGGGGCCCCGGTCCCGGGGGAGGGGCGTCCCTAAGGCTGGCTCTCCAACCAATCGGGCTCCAGCAGCGATCCCCGCGACCAGACCGCCGGTCCCCGGGAGGGGGCGCTCAGCTTCCGGCAGGGACCCCGCCCACGGACTGGGATCCGATGCTCCGTGTCCCCGGCTACGGCAGGACCCACGGCCCGGCCGGGCCGCTCTTCTCGCCGGCACGCCGCCCCCTCCGCCGCCGTACGCACCTGGAGCTCGGCCCGCCGCGGGCTGCGCAGGGTCGCAGGGCGCAGGCGCAGAGACGGCGCGGCGGGCGCCCCGCCAGGGAAGCGATCGGGGAGGGGAAGCGGGGAGCTCGCACATGCGCAGGCTTCGCCCGCAGGAAAGATGGCGGTCGGCGCGGGGCGGGCGCGCTCCCCGGGAGGTTCGCCCCCCGCGGGGCAGAGCTTGCACACCCGGTGGCGGACCAACGTGAGGACCAACTGAGGCCGGAAGCGAGTTTCATGCAGGCTCCATTTATTGGTGTTTCAGACTCATGCAGCATCCGGCATACAAAAAGGGAGAATTAGTTTAATGTATCCTTTTTTTTTTTTGGTAGACTTTTAGTTTTTTGGGTTTTTTTTCTTTTTTCTTTTCTTTTTTTCAGAAAACAAAAAACCCGCTAACTCCAAACCGCGTTGTAGCTCGGTGTCTGCCTCCCTAGCGGAATGTCGCGTGCAACACACTTCCCTCCTCTTAGAAAATCATTATACGGCGCCCCGTCCCTCCCTCGCTCCTCGAGGCTGTAGCTTTGGTCCTATTTGGGGGTTCTTACGTTACGAAGCACGTGAGTCACCCCAGTCTTTGCCTTGAAGACACTGGCCGACTGGGTTTAAAAGCCCAGGTGGGGCAGGTCAGTAAATTAGGGCCGACCGGGGCGGGGCAATAGCTGCACCTCCCTCCTCCCGGGTGTTTGAACTGCGCTCACCTCGCCCGCACAAGTCCCCAGGGGAGCCCGGCCGGCCAGCTCTGCGACCCCGGGGCGCCCTGGAGGCATCCGGACCTGGGTCTTCCCGGCAGAGGACAGCCCTGGGCTACAGGGTCCTCTCCCGACATTGCTGCCCTTTCCCAGCCTGCTCTAAGTGCTGGAGTTTTTGCAGAATAATCAGTGACAGCAGAAAAACCAGAGGAGAGGATCCTTAGGGGAAGGAAGGATGCTGAGGGGAGATGAGGCAGGGAGAGGAACAGGGAAGAGGGTGTGGAGAGGGACGAGAGATGATACAGGAGAGGAGGAAGAAAGGAATGGGGGAAGATGGCAAGACAATGAAAGTTGGGGGTGGAGACCAGGTTTGAAGTGCAGGTAATTTGGGAGGTTTGAAGAAGTGCAAGATGGGAGAAATGCAGGGAGGCTGAGAGTTTGGGAGATGTTGAGGGAGGTTTCCAGAAGTGCAGGGATAGAGAGGCTGAGAGGCTGGACTGGCTGCAGGCAGAAGTGCAGGGAGACTGGAAACAGTGCAGGGAGAAGGGAGGCCTACGGTTGGCAGAGGAGCCTGGCAAGATGCAGGGCCAGGAAAGCTGTAAACAAGGCTGCTCAGGCTCCCTTGGTCCCTATGGGTGCGGGCCTGGGCCATCGACTGCGCTCCCGGCAGGGGAGCAGGGGAGGATGGGCCCAAGACAGCTCCCAACAGGAAGAAAAGTCTTGGAATGCAGGGCAGAGCTCCTCACTTATACACTGTGGAAGAGGAGAGGGAGGGACAGACAGAGAAAGAGACAGTGGGTGGGGGTGGGGGAGACAAGGAGAGACAAAGGACAAGTAGGGGAGACAGACAGGAGAGGCAGGTCAGGGGTTAGTAAAGCTGCCTGCAACCCTTCGTGCCTCCCAGCCTGTCCAGACCCCACTCACCGCCTAAGGTTGATGACACAGGAGGCGATGATGATGAGGACCCCCCCGACCAGCGCCACGATGCTTAAGAGCTTTGCCACTCGACCCAGACGCTGGGCCCCCATCCACATCCCCCTGCTGCAGACTGTTCCGGGACTGCGATTAGGGTGAGGAGTGGGGCATCATGGCCAGGTCAAGAGAAGCCAGCTCAGCACGGATCAGGTGAGAGAGTCATCCAGAGGAGAGAGGCCAGCCCGTGGTTAGGGAGGAAGGAGAGATGGAGAGACAGAGGGAGGAGGGCATAGGTCAGCAAGGTTGTGCGAAACCTGTCTGGCCATCCCTCCCACCTGACGGGGTGGGGCAGTAGTGGCTCGGAGGGTGAAGCCCTGTACTTTGGAAGCGAGATCCATGCAGAGAGGGAAAGCCAGGCTATTCCTGGGGCTTTGTCCCAGTGCAGGTCGTGGGGAGCCGCAGCAGGCTGGGGCCAGGGTCTCGGGGGGCTCACCATAACGGCATAAGCGAAGGCCACAATGTTGACAGGCCACATGGGGCAGAAGCAGGACAGGATGGCGAGGATGATGTAGTCTCGAGGTTTCTGGGTGCCCTCACCCCCCTCTACCCCAGATCCTGCTAGCTGGGAGCTGGGGTGGCGGCTCAGGCTACCTCGGGGAGATCCTGGATGCCCACTGTGAGCCCTTCCTACTCGGTCCTCCTCAACCAGCTGCTGCAGCACGCGGGGAGGAGCCCCATTGGCTGGGGGGGCTTTTGTTGAGGGTGATGAGTGAGGCTGGGGGGCCGGACCCTCGTCCCCATCGCCAGCCTGCAGGGGAACGACTGCCCCATTCTCCTGCTTGTCCTCCACACTCTCAGTCAAGAACTCAGGGGTGGGGTCCTCCTGGGTAGGGGGCTCTGGCTGCAGGGCTGGCTTGGGAGTGGGCTGGGAACCTGACTGGAGGTCCCGCTGGGGTGTGGGCTGTGAGGCTGGCTCACGCGGGCCCGCAGATTCCAGGTCCGACCCCTGGTCTGCAGTGGCCTCTTTGCTCATTTCTGGCTTGGATGCTGGCTCTTGGCATACTTCTTTGGGCCTGGAGTGGGCCTGTGGTTCCCCTCCTGGGCTTGAGCTAAGGTCTTTGGCCTGGGCTGTGTCGGGGGCCCCTGTTGGGGTCTCTGTGTTTTCTGGAGCTAGCCCAGCCTTGGGCTCTGAGTCCACAGGGTCCACGGTGATGTCTGGACCTGGCTGCAGGGCCTCGGGCTCATCCGGGACCCCAGCTGGGGCCTGGAGAGGGCCAGTCCCAGCCTCAGAATGGCCAGGCCCTTCTCCCTGGGTCTGGGGACCCTCCTCTATCCCCTTTATCTCAGAGGCTTCAGAGCTGCTGGCTGCCATCTTGTGATGGGAGAGAGGAGAGGGCCTCTGTGGGGAGGACAGAGCGGCAGAGACAGCAGCAAATCCTGGAAGAGGAGGAGATGAGCTTGGTGTGAGGAGGAAAGAGGCAGCTCTCAGCACTGCAGCCTGAGAGGGTTGTGCTCCTGTCTCCGGGCCAGCCCTGGGCTGCCTCTGGGGAGAGGAAGAAAAGTTGGGGTTTCCTTTGCCTTGGGGTGGGACGTCTCTGGGGAGGAGTGCTCCGCTTCTGCTTGGAGAGCCCTGGGAAGGTTAACCCTTTGTAAGCAGGACCCTCCCCATGGTCTTTTCCTGGGCACCCCCAACAAGATCCAGCCTCCCAGCACCTCAAAACCAAGCTCTGCAGACACCCATACACTCCGACAGGCAGACTAGGCAGAGGCCCGCACTCACATTCCACTCCCGCGTCCTCCCCTACCTGGGCGCCAGTGGGTGCGGTTTTCTTGTTGCGTGTTTGGGGCGCAGATGCCCCCGCTCCTCCCTGAGGGTCCTGGGCATCTCCTCTGAGCCCCTTCTCAGCCCCTCTCCCAGGGATTCCCTTGTCCCCGGGGTGCCCCCGGCGCCTCCTTCCTTTGGCTTGGCGCGCCTTGCACCACCAGCCAAGAGGCCATGCGCCCGTATTCCTGTGCGGTACAGCCCTCCCCGGCCTCTGCAGTCTGTCCACTCCTACCCGCAGCCTCAGTCCATCCGTCTCACCTCAACGCCGGCCTCCAGACTGCTCCCGCCGCTGCCGCCGCTGTTGCAGCAGCCGCAGCCCGGGAGGGAGCGAGTCAGCGAGCGAGCGAGGGAGGGAGGCGGCGGGTCTTCCCTCCGCTCTGCTCATCCCCTCCTCTCAGGTCGCTCTGCTCTTCCCCTCCTCTCCCGTCCCCTCCCCTGCGCTCGGCTCCGCTGCCGCACGCGCTGCCCCCGCCCCTCCAGGCCCGCCCAAGGGAGCCACGCGTGCCAGGCCCGTGTTACCCAGGCAACCGGCTGGGGGACCACTCGCGCCAGCTCCCTGCTCCTTCCCACGCGCACCTCCTGGGGGTATCCCCTTCCCAAGTCCCGGGCCCCTCCCGCCAACGGTCACCAGGGTTCCTGGCAGAGGCAGGGGGTTGGGTGAAACGGAGAGGGATCAGCGAAGAGAGGCAGGTCCAGGGTGAGAGGCAATACTGGGTGGACGCACCCCTCCGAGCGTAAAGAGGGGAAGGGAGATGAGGCAAAACTGGGGGAGGCTGCAGGGTGGGGTTTCAAGAGAAGGGAGTCTGCAGAGTCCCTCTACCACAAAGCAGCCGCAGAAATTGGTACTGGAAGGCTCAAGGGTCCCTGGAAAGGAAAGCCAGGCCTGGGAGGGAATTACCAGGGGGCAGGGCAGGGGCCGCAGGGGTGTCTGGAACAGGAGGAAGGGGCTGGGGCAGAGTCCCAGTGAAGACAGGGTGGACCATGGCAAGAATGAAAGGGGCAAGTGCAGTTTTTCTTCTCAACCTCACTGCTCGGAGTCCTAGGGTGCAGACTTCCCAACCTTTCTGGAGCTACATCATCGGCCATCTCCTCAGGGCCTTAGGGATGTGTTAGTATTTGGCTGGGTTCTAGGAACTGTTTGGGTTTCTAACCCAAGCCTCTTCAAACCTGCAATAGCTGGCTATTCTGGGCCTGTCCAGATTGGGTACCCCCCACTCCCACCTCTGGGAGGGAGGAGCCAGAGCTGCAGAAGGCAGGACAAGGCAGCAACCCATAGCAGCCCCAAGAAAACCCTTGGGGGGGGGGGGGGGGCAGGGACTTCGGGGAGAGCAATTCATTCAAGCCAGAGCCAAGTTTTTATTTAAAATTTATTGGAATGGGATCCACGCCAAGAGGAGGGGGTGAAGGGTAGGGAACATGCAGGGAACACAGGAACACGATGACATGGCCAGGGCCACAGCTTCTATCTTGGGGGAGAGGGATGAAAAGGCCGGGGCTGGAGCTGGGGTGGAAGAGGAAAGGGGGAGACACTGCAGCTGCCTTCCTCCACCCCCAGGCAGCACCTCTAGTCCCTGGACCTCCCCATTTACCCTGGCCTCCTCAAGTTCCATTTCTTGTCCTGCCTCCGGCCCAAGTAGCTCCTTTTGCTCCCCTTGACTTGTTCTCCCCTGACAGAGTCTTAAGGAGTATGCTTAGGGCTGACCCTAAACAACCCTGCCTTACGAAGGCACCAACCTTTGCCTTCCCTGCTTCTGCCCCTTCTCAAATCTCACCTTTCCCCTCTCTAGGACAGAATCTTTGATTCCCCTCCTTTCTCTCCTCCCTCCCCCTGGAAAAAAAAAAAAGCACCAACTCCCCAGGGAGGGGCAGCAGACAGTAGGGGGGTACTGGAAGGAGCGCAAGGACCACCAAGGGAGGAGGCTCACAAATCCCTGGAAGGGCAGGGCAGGGGGTTACAGAGAGGAGAGGGGTGAAGGCAGTGGCCGCTCCTGTCCTCTGCCATCCCTGCCCGCTGTCCAGGGGGCTTGAACACAACCAAGGGGACAGGTGTGTGTGGGGGCAGGTCTGATAGGGAGAAGAGGAGCAGGAGAAACAAATCGTTAAAACCTAGTGAATTCCCCTAAGAAAACATTTCTTCCTCCTTTCCTTCAGGAGGCTCCTTGGGTGGTGGGGGAAGCAGTGAGGAGTTGATGGGAAGAGAGGAGGGGGAAAGGATACCAAGGGACTTTCCTCCATTCTCCCCCCTCCTCCTCCCCAACTAGGAGTTCACCAAGGCTGGGAGGGAAGTGGCTGAGAGCTCACAGGCACCCCCTCGGCCCCAGAGAGGGAGCCCACAGCTGTGGGAGGGGCTGCCACTGATGCAGCTGCTGCTGCCGCTGCCGCTGCTGCCGCCGCCGCTGCCATTGGACAGACCTCACCGGTACCTGCATGGTGAAAAACATCAGATCACAGCGCCATCTGAATGGCAAGAGCCTTGCCCCTGGCCCCAGACTCCCTCCCCTGGGACACAGCCGTTGCTCACTTCCTGTTTGGTCCCCAGAGGCTTCGGCCTGCATCCTTACCCAGTTCTCCTGAAGGGCCCTCTCTGTTCCCAGAAGTCTCCCTAACCTGAGTGATAGATGGACATCCCTGGCCTTCCTGAGATCCCCTACTGGGCCCCTTGAGCCCCCTTGTCCCACACACACCATCTCCCCCAAGCCATGTCCCACGCCTTGCCTGGTGGGTGCGGGGGTCCCCCTCAGCAGGTGGGCTGTGGCTGGGGGGCATCTCCCGGGACAGGGGGGGTGGCCCCCCCTAGATGGGTCTGCATGTGGCCGGCCAGCTGGGCAGGGGTCTTGCAGTGCACGCTGCACAGCTTGCACAGGATGCGGTCAGCCCGCGGGGCCTGGAGCCCATGGTCCTTCACCGCGTGGATGCGCAGGTATGCTGCCGTGGTGAAGCCTATGGGGGGGGGGGGGGGTGGATTGGGATGGGGGGATGGGGTCAGCCAGGTGGAGACCCCAGAGACGGGGTTATTCTCCTAGGCTGGGGACACTCTCCTCAGATGGCCCTGTCCTCCTCCCACATCCTTGGTAACCTGGGGCCAACTACTCTGCTGGGGCTGGTAGGTCGCAGCCCCACCCTGAGCTTTGGACCTAGTTGAGTAGTGTCCGCTCCTTGGCACTGGTACCCAGAACCCATCCTCTGTGGCTGAGGGATCTCTCCTGGGGTGACAGGCCACTGATTCCTAGCCACTTGAAGGGTTGACCCTCAGTAGAGACGGCTGTGTCCCCTCCCTCCAGTGCCCCATATAGTCTCAGCCCAGTTATTCAGTGAATAAGCAAGTCTTTTTAAAAGCAGCTTTCTCTGCTACTGGGGCAGGGTGCATGCTTGTTAAACTCCTGCCAAAGTACTCCACTTGTCGCAGGAGCCGAAGATGAGAAGCTGTGGCTGCACAGCTGAAACCTTGTCTCTCAACCCTTGGGCAATCTTGACCATTCCTTCCCCAAAATAGCCACGTCCCATTCCCATCCTCCCCACGCACACCCAGAAGTTGACTCTTTCTAGTAGATCATCTCTTCCAGCCACGACCTCTTAGAACTTAATGATGTTCAGTGGGCCCAAAGTTGCTTCATTTGCTTCCTAGCGGGCTCTAGATGCCACGAGCTCTCAGTTACAGCACTTTTAACTCACATCTGCGAAAGGGCCTCTGGCTCTGTCCCCACCCATTGTCCCTGGCCCTCCCAGCATCCCTCAGCATGTACCTTTGTTGCAGAGCTCACAGACATGGTGAGGGCCCTGGCTGTGCACCTTCATGTGGTCCGAAATATAAGCCGAGCTCAGCATCTTGCCACATACGTGACATGGCACCTTCTCTTCATGTCGTACTGTGTGCGCCCTCAGTCGATCCTTCGTAGCAAAAGCTGCCTCACATTTCTGGGGAAGGGGGAGGGGTGTGGGGGGTGTCAGGAGAGTTAAAGCTTCAGGGAGTGGGGAGAGGGGAACAAGAGGTTAAAGGAATCAGAGCCTTGGGGATCTTTGATCTGTAGGAAATGGGAGTGAGACGATGAGGCCTTGAAGAAGGGATGAGAAAATGGAGTGAAAAAGCAAAAAGAGAGAAAAAGGGGGTCTGAGAGGCTGAACTCAGACAACTACAATGAGGATCAAAATCATGAAAACCAAGACAGGAAGAGGGCCTCCTACCTCGCATTTGAATGGCCGTTCTGTTGAGTGCACTTGTCTGACGTGACTGTTGAGGTGATCCGGCCTGGGGACACGTTGGGGATGGGGTTAGGCCCTGTGCTGTAGAGACGCCCCCACGTCTGCCTAACCTAGTACAGGAGACCTTTCCCAGGTCCCTGCATTTCCTCCCAAGCCCGGGGAATCAGAGTCCTAGTCGGGCAGGAAACCCCTCCCCTGGAGCAGGGCTGCCTTGTCCACGCCACGCTTTCCAACAATCCTAAGACCCACCCCCTTTGCTAAGTACCACCCCCTGCTCCCTGGTAACCCAGAGAGGCTCTTCTCCCTCCTCCCTGGGAGTGGCTCCCAGTCCCCATCCTCAGAAACCTCCTCCCTCCCCACCAGCCAAGGCCAGGCCACCT